CAAATCCTGACAAATCCGAGTTATTTGGAATGAAAAAATTTGGGATTTAAAACGTGATTTCAAATCTATTGTGATTTCAAACTCATTCTTTTTCTTTCCAAACAGACACGGGAAATGATTTCAAAATCATTTATGATTTGAGAATCCTTACAAATTCTAGTTCCAAACAAAGGGTAAATGAATGCTGAATGCTAAAGGCTTAAAATCTCTCAACCCTCTTACTCTCTCAATCCTTTTCAATTTGATCCCACAATCTGGATTCTCGATCGAGAGACATATTAAGGAAGATCAAGTAGTGTTGTCCCATTGGGATCACGCGAAGAAGAATTTTCAAAGGTAAAATCCAACATTCTTCATTGTTTTATATTTTTCTGTATTTTAAATTTCAAAAGAAATTCAAGAATGCGTTCTATTGCTTCCGCTCTAGGATTCACATCCCTTCACCACAATTCGTCGCTTTACTTTGTTGGGGTGTGCGAACCCGACGCACCCTCCATGGCATAACTGGCAAGTTGGGTCGTACTGCAAAAATGCCGCTGTAGTGAAGCACCATTGGGAGGATCATACACATCGGCTTGAGCTCCTTCTCGAGTGCCTCTAGTGGGGTGGCAGATTGTAGCGAATCCCATACAGTTATGTCGCCCTCTACAAGATCGATGCCGAGCATCACCTAATGGTTCTCACCAATGTTAATCGTGGTATATACCATGTCTGCATCACTCCATGGCGTGTTGTGGTTCTATTGTCTACCAAACACGTATCGGAAGATGGTTTTCTCGTTACTCCATTCATACTTGATCCTCGAGGCCATGACTCCCGGCTTCATGGCAGCGTATAGACCGTTTGTGCGGTTTAGCAAAGTCTGTGCATAAATACGTTACATAAGACTTTCATGAATAATTAGAACAAAAACTTTATTATGTGGGCATATTAAGGTAAAAATTACTTACAGAGAGAAGTATGTCGCCTATGGCAAACCTCTTGCGACATAGATGGAGACACTTCTCCAACTTCTTCGTCGTAAACAACACCAGCGCATCGATAACCTGATTCATTTAATATATTCACAATGATGTAACTAACATATTCACAACGTCATACTTAGGGAGTAAGAAGTCCTTACTTCATCCTTCAATTCGATAGTCTGGTCTAGTAGATTGTGATACCATTCCTTCGTTTGCATTCCAGCTGCAGTAGACAACGTTACCCCGTTCGTTAATGGGTCATCCAACCATTTCTGGAACTGTTCGTCCAACTGTGGAGGAATGGCACATGTTGAGTTGTAACTTACCACTTTCCTCCCATACTTTCCGATTGGTGTGTACATTTCCAAATGAAAGAACAAATGTCAAGCATACGATCATTTGAGAATTAGTTACTTGCATGTTATCGAATACATCACTCGCCAACACACAAAACCAGCGAGAATAGGTTCACGACCATCTAAGAAGTCAAGAAATGGCATCGTCACTCAACCTCATTGCTACTCGCACACTTAATGTAGAGATAGTCTCGTGTGCCCATACTTGGAATCACAAGAAGTCAAATAAATGATGTAGTTAAATAATGAGTCTAATTATACCGTTAAACCTCACTAACCCGGATCGCGTACACGAACCCATAGAGACTATAAGTCTCAACTGTCAAGGGTCGTCTCTCGCCTTTTGTTGGTACGCTTGTAGTTTATCCTTTAGAGTGTTCTTCAGGCTCCAAATTGTACTTTCGAAAATCATCATACTCTAGTCATAGTTGCAAAACAACTCCCACCGATCCACAATACCTAACAGGTTCGTATCCATGTACTGCTTCCTCTCCTTACTCATCATGGCAAGTTCTATGAAGTAAACTATGGCGACCTTGACAACATCCTCGTCGTTGTCAAAACCCTGCTCCATAAAAATCTTCCCCAACTCATTACACTTAACCCTCACACTGTCCTTAAAATAAAGTGCTTTAAGTCTTCGGTCGGAATATCGTTATCTACTCTATGCATTCTATGTCTGAGCCTGGTTATTAGGTCAAAACTCTCGCTTGTCGAAAGACACCATTTTCCCAAACAGGTCAAAGTTAATGACATCCTGCCTAGGCTCCTCAACCTCTCTCAACAACAAGTGATGGATCAATGGACCGTTAAATACAACGTCCATGTCCAAAATAGGACCGAAACATGTTTGCCTAAAAATATGTCTAACTAGGTCGGGGTTAACCTAGTCTTAAGGGTAGAAGTGGTTTTATCTACATGGGTAAGGTTTGTTAACGAAGCTGGAAACCAGTCATTTCAGGCTAGAATAAGTCTTAAATTCATCGTGTCTCCTAGACAAAGATGAAATAAAAAAAAATAGATAAAGACTAATGCAACAATGTTAAAAAGAACTAAAAAAAAGTCGTAAGGGTGGGAGCCTTCTTTCTGCCATTCATCTCGGCCCGAGACAGTCCGGGATAAGAGTCGGGATGAAAGGCAGAAAGAAAGTTGTCTCTTTTACCTTTCATCCCGGTACGAGACGGATCGGGACAAACTCCGAGATAAAAGGTAGAATTTAGGGAATCCTGGATCATCTCGGATCTTCTCTTCTACCTTTCATCCCGGTGCATGTCTCGGTCCGTCTCGTACCGAGATGAAAGGCAGAAAAGAAGCTTGATCCCGGAGCATTCCAAATGGGTCTCGGATGCAATGGAAAACTACTTGGCTTCTTTAGATAGCGTCGAAAATCAAAACCCTGACAACAAGGTATGAAAATTTTCTCTAAAACCCTAACAACCGAGATCGAAACCACGATGACGAAAAGAAACCCTAACCTTGATGACAAGAAGAGATTGATGATTGCCTCCAAAGTCGATGGGTACAGAACTCTAAGAAATCAATGGGTGCAGAAGTCCTTTGAGAACCGAGATAAGGAAAAGAGGGAGAGAATGACAGGGAACGCTCCAAGATAGGGAAGGAATTAGTTTTTGAAATGTAAGGGTAAAACGGTAATTTCACAATTACAAATTTTGTAAGGGGTCACAATTAAGTGGAGGTGGGGTCACAATTTGTGTTTTTTCAAAAACAGGTTCATTTTTTCAATTTCAATTTTAAGAGGGGTCATAAATCTCAATTTCTCCGCTTTGTAATCTTACAATTTTTTTTTTTGTAAATATGATACTATTTATTATTTAAAATCTTATTTTCACCTTTATTTATTTAAGGATCGATTAGATTACCACTTCGTTTTCTGTTTTTTTTTTTATTTATGATAATAATTCAATTTTTTGTTTTCTATTTTTTTAAAAAAGATAGTTTTAAAAACAAATTTTTATTTTTCAAATCTCATTTGTTCAACTTTTTTTCGGACATATTTTTCGGAGCATCAACAGGAGTAGCCATTTTTTTCCAAGAAATTTAATTTTGGTCCCTCTTTGGAAAACCAAAACTTTTAAAAATATTTTGTTTGTATCACTTTTATATGAAATTATGTATTTGTTCTTAGTTACTTTTTAATTGAATTTATCTATTTTCCTTGTTTCTCACATATATACTTTCCTCACTGCCCAAACTCTACTCTTATATCTCTTTTCTCTCTCTCAAATATATTAAAATATATTTAAAATAGTATAAATATATGACTTTTTATTTTTACCTTAACTATTTTAAAATAATCTAGAGAATCTATTTTATTTTAAATTAGTCAAATCAAAATAATAAAAGCATAATCTTAGGTATAATTGAGTAATAAAAAGAATATTTTATTTATAACTTAACCATATTAAACTTTAAATAATAAGAAAGATATTTAATTTCGGGCCTGCCGCTAGTGGTGTTAACAGAGGGTGTGCGCCGCCGCCGCCGACGGAGAATTGCCGGAAGTTGCCGGAGGATTGTGAAATTGTGCGACGTTATTGTCGTGGCTGTTGCGAATTCGCTGCCGAAGGCTACTGTGTTGAACAGAACCAGAGCGTAGAACAGGGAGAGGGAGAGAGAGAAAGCGAAGGAAATGGCAAGATTTTAAAAGTTGATAAAAAGACGTTGAAGTCTACGTTCCATGGAAATATCGATAAAAAAATCGATAAACTGTTTGATGTCGGTAGATATTTCTGAAAAAATGTTATAAAAAAATTTCTTAAAAACTATTTAAATTAACACAAATTTTTCTTCCTTTCTAAATAAGTTAAAAATAATTAATATTAATATCATATCTATATTAATAAGATTTGGTTGATATTTTTTATATTTTATCATTTTTTTTGAAATATTATGTAAATGTCGATTTACCTCTCAGGTCGATATCGAACTCATTGATATATGGAAATGTCGATATATTGACGAAAATTTAATACCATGGGAAAGAGAAACAAAAAAAAAAAGACAAGTAACATAAAAATAATATAAAATTATTTAATGTTACCACGTCATTTAAAATTTGACAACTCAATTATGTACCTTCATTAGTCAACTAACCATCAAATAAACTTAGACATCATTTAGAACAATTTCCTAAAGATCGGATACCAAACTGTCACTCATAACCAAAATCATTTTTTCCCTAAAAAAAGATCACGCTACAAAAAACCTTGACTACACAATCTTACAAACCTTGACTACACAATCTTACACCCCCGCTCAAACCCAGGCTACACAAGCCCCTAAATTTAACCCTAAGAATACACAAAACGTTTGCTCCATATTCATTTTCAATAACTTAAATATATATATATATATATATATGCGCGCCTATATAAATTTGACTAAATAACCATTCTTTTGTTGCTTTATCCAATCCATTTTATGGCCTACACCAAGACTTCAACCATTCAGATTTATACATTTTTCTTTAAATACCGTGAATATATCGATCAGTTTACTGGCACTTCAACTAATCTTACAAGATAGATAACATAATCTTACAACATACAACTATTAAGAAACACTAGGATTTTATCTTAGATCACAACCATCATCGAATTAGAATCCTAGCTCCAAAGTCACAAGTCATTTTTCCATGCCACAGTAAATTAGATTTGTATAATTCGAAGTTAACAAAGCTTATATTTAGTATAATAACTTCTTGTTTATCCTAAAACAAGAGTTTATTTTAATTTTACAAACTACACTAACTGATTTAATATGAATTCAAGCGGGTAAAACTTACTTTTTTTTCATTACATATTTATCTTTACAAATCATAGTGACTCGCAAACCAAACATGGGTTTTGTAAACCACCGAGCTTTCCAATCTTAAAAGTTTCATAAGCCTAGATTGTATGACCTGCATGTGCCACATTCCAGATAACAAAATCAGCAGGAGTGCCAAAGAAAACATACCCATTGCTAGATTCAATACAAGTCCAGCGACTCGAGCACCCGACGAGCTTGGATGTGCAGCGCGGTTAATCTCTGCTCCGGATCAAGAGTCGAGCCGAATTGACTGGCTGCCCATATCAAGGAGGCTGATTTCTCTCCCAGAAGCTGCCTTATGTCTTCATGTATGGTTGCCAGAGGAGGCCGTCCCCTCCCATTTACATGTCCTATCAGTAGCAGTAGGAACTCTCCACATTTCAACCTAATCACAAGCCAAAAATAGGAATGTATCATATAAATGGGTGTTAATGAAGGAAACACAAGATATGGACATGGATTGATAGATGGGGATGAGAAGAACCTGAGGTTTTCATCCATTTGTTTGTCCCTTATGAGCACTGCAACTTCCTCGATACCGTTACAGACCTCAAAATCCTGGAAAATAAAGTCACAACATGTTACACAATGAGACTCCTTGGTTTGTTGTACAAACCCAGCTGTTAAAATAAGTGAAATTTCGCTTTCCACAAGGAGTTAAACTTGATATCTCAGAAAGCTCGGCATGGAAATAAGACTTGCTATAGTGTTTCCATGGAGTGGGGGACTCTCGTTTGATTACTTTTTGAAGGGGTCTTGGAGTTTTAAGATTTCATCCTAATGGATTCTCAAACCTCTTCCTCAGCAAGCTACAATGGGGTCTCATCTATTCCCTCTTATGATTCCAATATCGAACCATAAGGAGAAATTACTCTAGATCTCAATGTTGGATGGCCCTTCCAAATCTGCAGCTGGTGAAAAGACTAACAAAGAAAAGACTATTTGTTTAGAAGGGCATTTTAGAAGAAAATTGGAGATACAAGCTCATTTTGAGAAGGAGCTTACTGAAGCAATCGCCAAAATTTCAAAGAAATACACAGCACTAGTTTCTGAAGTTGAGTATGATGTTAAAAATTCTTGAAGATGGCTTCGTATGAGTCGATTAACGGATTTTGTTGCAAATTTTGGGACTTTGGAACCTTCTCATTGATGTGATTTTTTTATCGGTATCAATTCTGGTTTTGTTCAGGTTGGAGGAAGTGATTCAGACTCTGTCAGTGTGCCTTTCGTCAAGTTTTTAGACGCTTCATTCATCTGTGTTTTTTCTATTATATCATTTGGACTTTCGTTCTTGCTATGGTTGTTTTTTCCTTTCCTTTTTCGCTCTTTTGGGAGCTTGTATCCTTCAACATTTTCTTCCTTTCAATATATCGATGAAAATTTTTTTCAAGTATTTCCATGGTGTATATCGGGTAAGTTCAAGAAATATCAATGAAACACAATGATTGAAAGAGCAATACAAGCAGGAATGCCCAACATGAGATCTCTAAGGAACAGTTTTTAATAAAATATCAACAACAAAGCCATCATAAAGCATGTGTCCTATATGACATTTGAACGGAATTACCATTTGATTGGCTGATGAATCCAACATTACTGAAATTAAAGCATCTAAGCATGCACCTTGTTCAAGTACTCCACGAATGGATAGTATATTCATCAAAACCTGCAAAAATAAGTTCAATATTCAGATGCACGATCTCTATCAACAGAAAGCTATAACCAAGTAAACTTCAGTTAAGCATCGGCCATGTGACTCACAATGACGATTGACGAGTGAATACTAGACTAGACTGCCCCAAGCTAAGAAGCACAAATACGGACATAGACACAAACATTGATATGACACGACATAATGATATGTCAATTTCTAAAAAAGTAGGAAATGGATATGTTGGGGATGCGTTCTTTAGATTACATGTATATATAGATATATTTAATACTTCATAATAGACAAAACAAGTAAATTTAGGGCAATCGTGAAATAGGTATTTGGTAGAGGAGGACATTGTGCGTTAGACGACGATCGGCAACTTTGATGGACAAATGAAGTGGTGGGGTGATTTCTTCGTCACCTGTTTTTTTTATTTATTATTATGTATTTTTTCTAATTTGTGACTTGGATTAGATTTCGGTTAGGCATTTAGGAATTGAGCTCAAATAGCAACTTAGTATATTGATGGGCTGGGTTGGGCTTTTTTCTGTTTTTATTTTTTCCAGGGTGTCCCAGAATTGTCCTTGTCATGTCCGAAGACTAAAAAAATAAAAAAAAATAAATTGAAACGAGAGATAGCATGTCAGACACGTGTCCAGAGTGTGTCTGAACGAATTCGTGTCTAACATGTATCTGACACTGATACTGCACCTACAATGACGTGCCCGTGCTTCCTAGGCCCCAAGTAATAGGCCAATGAGGACCATGTGCAGTATAGGACATGAGACTTTGTTCATTGAGACTTTGTTCCAAATGAATAGAGTTCAAAATTTGATATATTTTTAACCTTTAGAGGTAACAATTTTCATCTTATTTTTGTATGATAAACAGAAAGTATGCATTTAAATTCTAAGACAAAGATACACAAAACAGGGGAGGGAGCTAAGGTGTCACCCAAGCCCAAGCCATAGGACTATTAAGAAAAGCTTCCCAGTTGGCTTTAATAAGAAAAGTATAGTTACAAACATTTTTTTCCAAAGAAGTCCCAAGAGGACGATCAGTGACTCGATCGATGTATATTGGTAATGCAAAGATTCTCCGAAATTCCTTAAGAAATGTTGGAATTTACACTACCAGCTCATACTTTTATCCATACGGTATATAAATAAACCAAAGTCAATTCCACATTTTAAATCGCAGATATATAACATTAACCTAATAGAGTAATTTGAAGCCCATGTCTTTACATCCTCGCAGTTCACACAAACACATTAACATAGCCCATAGGTATGTATTGAGTAAACAACTGATTGATTATTCGTGCAATTATGAGCAGTAAGCTACTTTAAACACTTTAAAAGTGACAAGATAATAAAGGAGTGACACAAAGTGCTTGCAAAATCCAGAGGACATACCGGAATTGCCTTGTGTCGATGGGCTAAAGCAGTGCTCTCTCTGTGAAGGAGACAACAGCCTTCCAAAACTCGCAGTGCAAGGGCAACTTCAGCATCAGTTGAAGGACTAGCGATCTTCAAAGGTTCCACTCCAAAAATATGATCCAAATTTACCACAGGGTCATCCTCTGATTCTTTCAATGACTGTTGAAATAGTACTGGAACCACTGTCATATGGCCAAAATGGGAGAGAAGCATAATATCATTCTATTGCACAGGAGAAGTAATTTCAGCAATTTCAGCAATTCAATTTCTGTGGTAGCTTGGTCTTAAACAAAAAAAAAAAAAAAAAGTTACAGAGATTCAGAATTTTCTATTATTCAGTTCGAACACATACGATTTCCATAGTTCCTATTCCAGTGTGCAAGATATGTTGAACCAAAATAGAATCTACTAGACATTTCACTTGAAACGAAAATGTAGACGGTTTCATACAATTCCCATTGCTACACAGTTTTGCACAGTACTAAGTGCGAAAATGAAGTAACGTAATAAACAATAAATTTATTTGATGAAGTTTCATACCTTGAAGCTCCGGTACGGACTGAGTCTGGCAGAAGAGCTCAATCGTGGAATCGGACTCTGCGATGGAGCGAAGGGACTTGAGAAGGCTGCGAAGACCACGGACTCGGAGAAAGCTAAACTCGGCGCTCGCGTCTCTTAGACCTGTGCGGAGGGAGAAGGTAACTTCGCGGTAGAGTCTCTGACGGTTCAGAGAATTGACCAATTCCCCGACGGCAGTTGACGTTGCCGGTGCCGATTGATCATCTTCGGCGGAGGCCTTCACCGTCAATCCGTCGGTCCACAATGCCTTTTGGAGGTACATCTCCGATTTGCGTGTCTCCTGAAACTGCCGTGGGTCGCTCGCTGGCGTGAGAAAGAGAGGTCGTTCTGCGCCAGATCCGCTCGTCGCCGGATAAGAAGAGGTCGCCGGGAAAACGCGAGGGGGGTTCGCCGGCGTCGCAGAGCGTCGCCTGAGAAGAAAGCTCAAGGTGCGGCTGGGCCAAGGAGAGGGAGAGAGATGAGAAAGAGATCTCTAGTGAGAAGAAAGATGATGATGTCATATGAGGCTTGATGACCTCATAAATAAAGGTATTTTTTCTCTTAATTTCTTTCCTTTTCTTAAATAAAAAATCGAAATAAATTCTTAAAATCTTTTTTTTTTGTTGAGTACAACATAAATTCTTAAATCTTAATTCTTAAAACTTAACCAACATTTGGTTTGTGATTTGAAAATGGAGATTCCACGAATAATATTGTATTATTGTTTTTATTGTTTGAAAATTAAATCTTAATTGAAAAAAATGGGTTACTAATATAAACCAGTATAATTACCAGTTAAATATTTATTTAATTTAAAATAATATTAATTAAATTATTAATATTTTTATAATGAAGTATATAAAATTTAAAAGGAAAAAATTAAATTTACAAAACATTAATTTAATAAAAAAATTAATTTAATTTATCTAAAATAAAGAATTTAAAACCAATTTAAGGTTTCAAATCAAGAAAACCAAAATTTGAATTCACCAAGATAGGAAAAAATTTGGGAAAATTGACAAAATAAGCTTTCTGTACCTGTTAAGTTTTCTAATCACCCTCCTCAAAACACAAGTTTTCTAGTCACATACTTTGTCAAATGACATTTCATGCCCCTCCTTACTTACGAGTGGAGGTCTCGTTCGGTTGTCGTCCGCTGCTTCCATCCCGAGCTCTTGCGCCTCCCTAGTGGCCTCTCCGGCGACATTGTTGAACGATGACAACATTGCCGGCGGCGAGAAAGAGGGAGAGAATAATTTGCATAAAAATTTCCTTATTATTTTTCCCAACTCTTTCACCCTCTCCTCTAAAATCAAATTTTCAAGATTTCAAAAACTTTCCTTCTATGTCTCTTGCACGTCCGGACTATCTTCTTCTCCATGAAACCAAAACCAAATGCGTCGAGGAGGGAGGAGAGAGGGGAGAGAAGAGAGAGGGACAAAGCGAGAACGAGAGAACGAGAGTGACGTCATCGAGAAGGATAGAGCGAGATCGAGAAAGACGAGAGCGAGATCCAGAGAACGAGATCGAGAGGACGAGATCGAGAGAGCGAGATCGAGAGAGAGGTAAAGAAGTGGTGATAATAACGAAAAAAAATGGGGGATGGTTAGGAAAAAGAGGGGATTGTTTTCTTTTTCTTTTTTTTTTCTTTACTCCACCAAATTGAGTAAAATTAAATTTTAAATTTAGGATTAAAGGAGCAGATTTATGAGGAAGAGATTAAGAAAAAACAGGATTTTTTTTTATACTTCCACGATTAAAGGAGTACTACTTAAGAGATATTAAAGGAGAGATTTATGTTAATTTTTCAAATGATTCGATCAAATAATTAAAGAGGAAAAAACAATTAAGAAAACAAATCTAAATTAAATTTCAAATTTGAATATACTAAAATTAATCAATTATAATTTTAAATTTTAGTTAAAAAAATCTTCCATGCTTAGTATTTTAAATTTGAGATTTCGTTTCTTTCCACTCCAATTTTTAAAATAGTTTCTCGCTCACTCATCTCTCGTTTTCTCTCTCTCGCTCAATTGTCTCTCTTGCTCAATTCTCTCTCTCAACTTTCTCTTATTGAACTCTCTCTCTCTCTATCTCCTTCTCCATCCCATCGTAACTTTCTTCCTCTCCTGAGCCTCTTTCTTTGATGAACGACCCCCTCGTCGGCTTTGATGCATCCGTTGCCAGCGATTGTTGAAGGTCACGGGAATTATGGAGGCTGCTATTTAAAAAATGGTGAGAGATTTAGGTTTTTTTTTTAGGGTAGAGTAAACAAGAAAAAACCATGCGGAAGATATGGAAAAGAGAAAGAGAGAAGAAAAAAATCTGGAAAAGGAGGAAGATGGAGGTAGACACAAGAAATAAGAGAAATAAGGGAGGAAAACCTAAAAGGGTAAGGAGGGTCATGGGAGGTCATTTGGCAAAGTAGGTGATATCAGCAATGACTGGAAAACTTGTGTTTTGGGGAGAGCGATTAAAAAACTTAAGAGGGCCTCACAGGAAGCTTATTTTGTCAATTTTCCCAAAAAATTTCAAGGAATAACTTAAAAGCTGAACTAGTCTATCACGTTAGAAAAAGATTTTTGTTCTCGAAAGTTTGCTCGTCAATTGATTCTTGGTACTTAACCTGAATCTTGGTGTTCTCTACGTAGATTGCTTTCGCACAACACCCTTTTCTCTTCTTGTAGAGGATGGTCTCTCCTGTTCCTAACCATTGGTATAAGAGTTTTGTCCCTAACTTAGCTACGTGGGTAAAGATGTAATCATGGTGGTAATTTGTTGTTAAGCTATCCAACAGGCGGTATACTCCAGCAAAGAGGAGTGGTGCATGGTTGAAAATGATGTGCTCGTAATATGGCACAGGTGGATGACTATTTGAACGAAGACTCGATGTTGTTTTGTCGGAGGATTATTGTTGAGAATTCAACCAAAGTCTCATACATTGGCTAGATAAAGGGAAGATCTTGGATACATATGTGAGGGACATCTCCTAAATGAGGCATTTTGGGAGATATCAAAAGCAAAACCATAAGTGCTTATGCCACAAAGTGGACAATATCATATCACGTATAGATGTGGAGGGCGGTCACTTGTCTCTAACAATTGGTATCAAAGATACACCTTTGACTTAACCATGTGGGTATAATCCTCTCGCTGAACAAAGTGGCAAGCTTCAAGAATACGTGGTTGAGCTATTCGACAAACGTCATGCTATAGTGAAGAGAGGAGTTGCACTTGGTTAAACGTGATGTGCTCGAAATAAGATATGGATTGATGACTATTTGAGAGGAGGTTTGGTGGTACTTTGTTCGGAGGAAGGATTGTTGGGAATGTGACCAAAGTTCGACATTGGCTAGGGAAAAAGAAGTTCGTGGGTATATAAATTAGGAACAACATCTTCGTTAACATAAGACATTTTGGGTGATATTAAAGTAAAGCCATGAAAGTTTATGCCCAAAGTAGACAATATTATATTAATAAAGAGGAGTGGTGTCTAGTCAAAAGTGAGGGGAAGTTCATGTTATATAAGTTAGGGATAACATCTCCAATAACATGCGGTGTTCTGGACCTGCAATATCCTAGTGTGAAGATGTGAAAGATGGTCTGGTCCCTTGTCCTTAACTACTTTTTACCTCCATTGTATTGCTTCAATTAGAAATTAATTTCTTCATCTATTGAATTTCAGTATCTGGTATTTCATTTTCATCAAACATTGATATATCATATTGCTTCTGCAATATTTTTTTATCACCTCTTCATTTTCTCAACAAGACACTACGAGCTACCTTCATAGCATTGATGCTACAACTATTACTTTATAAAATTTTAGCACTTGTTAGGGTATTCAATAGAAGAAATGAAAAAAGGAGCTCGATAGATCTTTTAGTGGCAGCTATAAAACATTGGAGAGCCTGTTTTTTGTGCATTGAGCAAGGGTTTACAAGGAAGTTTAGAGATCTATTGTTGTGGTACACCAAGAGAGCTTGGAAGAGTGATTGGGGCGTTTTTTCATTATTGTGAAAATATGGAGAAAGCATTCTAAGGTGTATGTGAGATCCTATTATAGACTTCAATATTATAGTAGAACCTACGGGTAAACAATTGTAAACTATGTTGGGTATATATAAACTATGTAACACTTGCAAACAGATTAATTACAACATAACTGGCTATAAACAATACAAATTTTGATAACTTGATGAACACAAAAACTTAATAAATATAGTCGAGACACGTTTCAATAGCCCTGACTAGAAGACAAATTATTCGCTCTGCACAAGTTGCTAACAGACTACATCGATCGTCTTAATAGGATACAACGACTAACTCTGATAGAATTGCAACATCGAATTACTAGGATCTGGTAGAACTCTTAAATATTTTGTCTCAACACAAACAAGAACAACAATACAAAAGAAGAGAGAATTCTTGTGAGAGGAGGAGGAACTCAAATGAGAGTTTGATTTCTCATCTGAGAAAAACAACAACTATATATATCCAAACATGTAGCATCTCATAAATAACTTAAACACACATGTAACCTTTTCACATATATTACATATGTGACTTTTAACCCATATAAAGTTACAAATATTTAACTTGGTAACTCTAACAAAATAAAAAAATAACTTAAAATTTAATAAAATAAATAAACAAAACCACTAAACTAATAAATAAAGAATAATATTTACAATGTATATGTGAATAATTTCTTTTAAGTTTTTACTCTCTTTTTCACACCTTAAAATCCAACCAACTATAGTTTCAAACCTTTCCAAACTTATTGTAATCTACTTTGTGAGAATTGGAATTGGTTAGACAAATAGACCTAACTTTTCTCTACAATATTATTTTTAAATAAAAATAATAAATGTTGATGCCGAATTTCGGACGAGGTGATGTGGCAAGGACCATTGGCTGAGGAGGTTCTTGAAAGCAAGTTGGAACGGCTAGGTTGTCTCCTCCATGCACGTGTGGATCTCTATAAATTCAAACTCAACACATCGATGTGGTGTTCTACCAAATGCCCTCCAAAGTTAAGTCAGAATTCAGGTCGAAAGAGTAAGAAGTTGGATGCAAGATACTGCGTACCTCCTTGAAGGGGTCTGACTCCTCAATTTATAAGGGAGAGTGATATATGGGAAGACAAACTCTGAATAATTCGAGCATCAAAACGAGGATATCTTTCACCTATATATCTCATCGAGAGAACTCTATCCCAAGAAGTGGATGAACTAAACTGCTTGTCTTTCGATGCATCGTCTTTCCTCCTCAGCCCGCCGAGCTCGGACTAGGCCTAATGCTATGCAGCATCATGGGAGCGATCTAGTCGTCTTGGTAGATTTTACCCAAAACAGTAAGGATATGAAAATAAGAGATTCAGGAAAAAAGGGTGAGTTATATTGCATATTTTTTAAGTAGGTGTTTGATTGCAGATTTAATTAAATTAAGAACTTGAAACCATGTTTAACAATATACTTAT